TTCAGTGATAATGCAACCACTCTGCAATACTGACAGCTTGAAGAGGTTCCAGGTTCATGTACAGAGACCTCCTTGAACACTTTGGGCATCCGTTTGTCTGTGATCCAAGGCTGGCTGGGGCTGGGGGTGGATCATTATGTCAGGTCCCCTGCTGGAGGTGTTGTCTTTCTCTCTCTCACACTCACTCGGAAAAAATACCGTTTCATTTTTTTTTTTTTAAGAATGGAGATAGTTTAAAGAATTTTATAAAACTGTATTCCTCATGAAAGGACCCCTTTGCTGGATTGTATATCACTGGTCCAGATGAAAGATGTCCTATTTATTTCTTTTGAAGGAGAGGAATACGGTGATCGAAGTCAAGGTCACAGAATTCTTCTCAGTGGTGGAAGTACACACAGGCTTTCTGCCAGGAACTATTTCCTATTTCTATATGACACATGAACAAGCTTTCCAAGCCTCTTCCGCCTTTACCCAACCAGAGCAAAGAATCTCCCTTTTGGGTCCCCACACCTTGGAGAAAAGAACCTTTCTCTCACCTGGTCTGGGCTAAAGAATCCATCCACCCACTGCCTTAGTTCCTCCAGGCCCAGCTCCCTTTCCAAGTTAAAAAATGTTTGGCTTCTCCTCAGCCCTACACCCATTCTTGCAATTTCTAATTTGCTTTTAATTATTCTTCAGCAGTGTGCCCAGACTTCCTCTGAAAGAAACTGCCCTGGGCCTCCTTCTTTCTTAACATACCTAGAGATATTTAGTTCCTGACCAACTGAACCCCAGCCATGGAGTAGACCCACACTCAAGTTGGCTGGGTGTTGTGTTCCATTGCCGACAGCCAGGACCACATTATGACATTTGTGGGCTCTGGAAACTTTTCCCTTTGTGAGTCTCTTCTTCCATAAAATAAAAGCAACAACAACAAAAATTAAGCATATCTTATGATAGTGTTGATATAAAAATCTGGATTTATTACATTCATCATTATTGTAGTTATATTTTCTTCCAGGTTGAAAAGACAATGAAAATAGAAGCATTGTCATGGGTCCTTAGGAGTATCATGGGCTCTAGGCACTGTGCCACATTCTACTGGACAACGTAAGTCACAGGTCAGTAGAGTCAAGGACAGGGGAAATCATTTCCGTCTCCTGGTGGGAGTCATTGTAAAGAACCTGGCTGTTTTTAATCATTTTCAGAATGTTTAATAAGAGCTTTGCTTATGTCTTTCTAGCTGCATAAATTTACCAATCTACCCTTGGTTTGTACTTTTAAAGAAACTTTCTTTTTTGTATTTTAGTCTGATGAATACAGTTGCATAGTAAGTTTTACTTTGTTAACAATGAGTATAAAATTGAGATATAATTATTTTAGAGGAGAATAAACTAGGAGCCATGACTATATTTTATCCACTCTACCATCCCCACATCAATTTATTCTAAGGAGAGAAGAAACAGCAACTAACATATCTGGTAGAAACAGGGAGGAAAATAACAATTCCAGTCATGGTGGGGCACAAAGAACTTTTCTGGACAGAGAAAGCATGAGCCAGGGCCCCGTGGGAAAAGAGGCTAAAAAACAGTGCAAGAACTGGAGGAAGCCAGACCCGTCTATGCACACTCAGAGTGGACCTCCCCACAACCCAGTGGGAAAAGCTGGAGAATCAGGAACCAGGTGGTCCAGAGCCCCAGAGCCATGTTCACGGAGGTGGATTTATCATGAAACCACAGAAATGTAGCTTTCAGTCTCCTTCATTTGCTCTGGCCTCTTCTTGGCTTTGTACCTAATTTTGAATTCCTAATTCTGTGTTCCTTTTCTTAAAAAGAAAATCTACAGGATGAGCTAGGTTCAAGCCCTTAACCTTGGAGCTTGAAACTCATGCCAGACATGTATGTATGTGTGCCCAAAATCTCATGAGGAGAAAGGATTGTGGTATGGCCATCCCCCACCCCGGGGGGCGGGGGGCTGGTTCTCGCTTTCTCTCTCGCTGTCTTAGGCAAGTGTAAATGCCCTAGAGCAAAAATTTCTCTAAAAAAGAAAAAGTATGCACTAATTTGTGGCTCACAAAGTCCAAATCCACCCATGCATATTCATGCCAGGCAGTGGCACACAACATTCCATGAGGCAGTCCCACATGGGAAGGTTGCTGGTTTGAGGCCAGAGACCTCCCAGAATACTCTAGGTGTGCAAGTGCCCATGACCTGAGCTGGCTGAGGCAATATGAAGACCCTGTCAGGGTGCTGTATCTTGGTTTTTCTCATTCATAGAATAAATGTATAAACATTTTTTGAAATTGCTATCTCTATTTGAGAGCATAAATTCATTTTTTCAGAAATATGCAGAATAGATTTCTCCTTTCTCTCTTGTTTTCCTTTTCTTTTGTTTTACTTAAGAAATCTGTGGTTAAGGGGGAACTAACAGTTAGCGTAATGGCTATGTCGCTGGACTCCCATGCAGTCGACCGCGGTTCACGTCCTGGATCCAGTGGCTTGAAACTCACGCCGGGCACATGTGCGTGCGTGCCCAAGATCCTGAGAGGAGAATGGAGGAGAAGGGATTGCAGCCTGACCATCCCCCCTGGGGGGTGATTTCTCGCTTTCTGTCTCTATGTCTCTGTCTGTCTGGCAAGCGCACGTGCCCTATAGTAAAAATCTCTCCAAAATAAATAAATAAAATAAATAAATAAATAAATAAATAAAAAGAAATCTGTTGTTAAGGCAGCTGGATCTCACGTAACTAACCACACAGTTCAAATCCCAGCCCCAGTGGTTTGAATAACATACCAGGTACACGTACATCTATGCCCCAAATACTGACAGGGTAGAGAAATGGGGGGAGGGATTACGGCATGACCACACCTCATGTGAGGAATACTTTCTTCCCCTCTCTCTCTGTCAAGCCCACACACTCTCTGGCAATTAAAACAAAACAAAAACAAAAACAAAACTCATGATCATATTGATGTTGATCAAATCTGAGGAAGACTGAATTAAAGCCCCTACAGGACATTATTTCTGTGGAGCAGTATTGGACTAAAGAAGATGTAAGTTTGATCAGGAATAGATTCGTATGGTTCTGAATCATTCAGAGGATATATTGCATGAAGTGCAGGTGGCTATAATCAGAAAGGCAAAATTTGTGAAGTTACCATAAAGATAGGAGAAAGTTTGTGTGAAATCATTGGGTGACACAACTGTATGTTTAAGTCTAAACCAACTCCTCATCAAAAAGTGTTTGAAATCTAGATGTATATTTTGATGTCTGGTATGCAGTGTTATAAAGATAGTTGCTGTTAAACTAAGAGTAGTTATTTTGTTGTAAGAAGACTTTGACCTTGAGGCTAGGGTGGATGGGCTGTTAGGGTTAGTTCCAGTGGACCTGGAATTAGCCTGAACTGTCTTTCTGAAATCAGAAATGGAATTCCATAATGATACGCATGGCTTGCACTTGGTATTGGCAAGACCCCAGAGAAGTCTGGCACTGGGGCTGGTGATGCCTCCAGGACCAGCAGGTTGTAAGAGGCCCAGACAACACTCCATGACCATCTGAAACTGATACACTTCAATGTCCTTGCTCCCTCGTGCTGGATAGGACCATCCCATATCTCCTTTTGTAACTGGAGGACGTTTTCATTTGGGTACAGGACAGCGAAGGACAGACGGTGGAAGAGTTGAGAAGGGAGAATGAAGTGGTGCTTGTCTGTTTTCTCTATGCACCTGATGTCTCCAAAAAGGCAGAGAGCCTCAGCTGAATTTGAAGGGAATGTACTGGCAATGTCAAGAGAAAAAAACAGATGTAAAAGTTTTGAAGGAGGGTGGGCAAGGAGAGGCAGGTAACTCTGAGATTTTTTTCCCCACCAATCTATTTATTTTTCTTACCCTTCCCTCTTTCTTTTTGGTTGCTAGTAGCAGCCACATTGTCTTTCGTTTTTCTTTTTCTTTTCTTTTTTTTTTTTTTTGACTCTTCCCTATGATGAGCCAGCATTCCCCCTAGTGGCCTGCTGATGAAGCTCTAGTAACTGGGTTAGCTACACAGACCGGATGTACTAAGATCAGCGATGGAGTAACCATCCTTCCTCAGATGGAAAGCAGAAGGATACTGCTTTTATTACTTACAAAGGGACTGGGGACCACACTATTCATGATTATTTCCATCCCTGTCTTCCATAGTGATCTTTAAAGAAGAGCTCTTGGGGGGGACCAGCAGATGGCATAATGGTTACATCTCTGGACTCCCAAGTAGCCAACCACAGTTTGAGTCACAGACCAGTGGCATAAAAACTCAGGCTGGGAGCGTGTGCATGCATGACCACTCAAAATCCTGAAAGGAGACTAGAGGAGAAGGGATAACCCTGGAGGGTGATTTCTCACTTCCTGTCTCTCTGTCTCTCTCTAGTGAGCACACACACTCTATAGCAAAAATCTCTCTTAAAAAAAAAATATGATAATGAGAAAGAAGAGTCCTGATGCTTAAATCCCAGCTCTAGAGTTGTTTGTTTTTTTGTTTTGTGTTTTGTTTTGTGAGGTTTTTGCTCTAGAGCACACGTAATCATGAGAGAGACAGAGAGACAGAAAGGGAGGAAATCACCCCCGCCCCAGGAGGGATGGCTACGCCGCAATCCCTTCTCCTCCATTCTCCTCTCAGGATCTTGGGCACACGCGCACACGTGCTCAGTGTAAGTTTAAGCCACGGGGTCCAGGACTCGAACCTCAGTTGACTATGTGGGAGTCCAGCGATGTCGTGGGGAGCAACAGCAACAAGGAAGGGGAGTTTTGGAAGGGGAGAGAGAGAGAGGGAGAGTTTATGCACAACTTAATAAAGGCTCAATTCACTTCTGTCAGCTGCCCAGGCAGTTATAGCCAATCTGTGCTCTAGCCCCATGAAAGGAGGACAGGACTCAGGTTTGCCTTTCAAGTTACTTTAATCACACAAGGGAAAGGGGGGCTTACAAGTCATGATGGAACTAGCAGCACAGAGCGTCCTATGCTGGCACGGCGACTGGGAGTGCAGTCTGCAAGGGCAAGAGGGAGCCAAGTGCTACGAGGCACAGGCGGTGAGCTGGAGATGAGCTCCGTGAAGATCTTAGAGTATGATGGTGGTGGTGGCCACAAGATGACCGAGGGCAAACAAGGAGGAAAAGTTAACCTGGCAATCCTAGAGTACGGAGGTCGGGGCATCAAAGATGGCAGAATGGAGGGCTGGCTGGGCGAGAAGGAGTCAGTGTGCAAACTTGACAGGGCCTCTGGCTGCAAGGGAGGTCTCAGATGCAGTGAGATGGGATGTGGCCCAAACAGAGGACAGAGCCGATGAGCTAGGCTCAGGCTCCTCTTTTTATGTCTAATTTTGTCAGGCTCATGGTGACTTGACAAAACAGAATACCTTTGTAACATTATACATGTAAGTCTATGGGATTTGGGTCAGAACAAAGTGGGATATTTTTGCCAGTCATGGGGAGTGTGAAGCATAGACCACACTTATGTCTCTCGTGTTATCAGTCAGCATATGGCTAGTCTGCTATCAGCGATAAGCACTAGCGTGTTGGCTGAATGTCAAATTTCCAGGAACATAGCTAATGCCAGACTGAATGTACTACAAAATGGAGTCAGGTAGGCTCTCAGCAAGCAGTACTACAATCAAACATTTTCTTCACAGCAAACTACTAACTTAGCCATTAAACAATATATCAAGTGTAACAGTTCTTCACAGCAAGTAAAACAACATATTAGGTATAACAAGCGACATAGCCATTACGCCAACTGCTGGTCCCTGTTTTTCAGTGGTCACTACCATCATTGTATTTGACAGCCCAAAGTGAGAAAAAGTTGCAGTTGGGTCACTCCCAGAGTGCTTGCATTAAAAACAACTGGGAGCCAGATAGTGGCTCAGTGGTAAAATGTGATGCCCTGCAAGGAAATTCCACTTCCCAGTCTAAGTCCGAAGGCCTTCGCGAGCACACTGGGCACACACTTACCTGTGACCCAGGGCTGGCTGCAGACCACAGGTGGGTCACACCATGCAGATCCAGTTCAGGACACTGTCTTTCGCTCTGTCTCTCTTGTTCGTGGAAGAAATAAATAAACTTTAAAACACATAATTCATTGGCAGAGGGCTGGGAGGTGGTACAGTAGGTGGCGTGGTGCTTAAGGTGCTGGATGCCCACATGGTCAGCCACAGTTCAAGTGCCAGTGGCTTAAAACTCACATTGGGCACATGTGCGTGCATGCCCAAAATCCCAAGAGAATGGAGAAGAAGGGATTGTGACATAGACATCCCCCCAGGGGGTGATTTCTCACTTTCTCTCTGTCTCTCTGGCATGCACACACACACCCCACAGCAAAAATTTCTCTAAAATAAAAAATGGACCCACATGGGAAAGGTCCTGGGTTCACATCTTGGGAACTCCCTGAACACAGGGAGCTGAGCATGCACACATGTTCGTGAGCTTGCCTGGCTGAGGCTGGCAGTGGATCATGGCATGAGGAGCCAATTGGTGGTGTCTGTCCATCTCTCTCAGAAGAAATAAATGAATACACTTTTAAAAATTGATAGAGGCCTTCCTGTAGCCCTGTCTCTCTCTCTTCCTCCTGATAAAGCAGCTACTTTCACCAAACAGACCTACTGGGCAGGAGAGGTGGTGAAGCCCTGAGGAACGTCCCCATCAGGTCTTGGAGATTCCCCACCTCTTCTCACAGAGGCCGCATTGGCCATGGTCTGGGGACCCCATGTCGGGTGGCCCACGCCATGCGTAGGTTCTAGTGCCAGCCTCTACTGTCAGTGCGACCTGTCATTTAGCATCTCTGGGCCTGGGTTTCTCCTCATGTGAAATGACGATACTGTGTTGGTTCTCAGCAGAGAGAAGGGTTATATATCAGAATTGCTTGGAATACTTTTCCAAAATATATTCTTTCTTGTATGTTTGGACGAAATTTAAAAACAAACTCCAAAGTCATGCTGGCATGTCCTGCACCCAGTTCTAAGGAATCACAAACGCCCTAACACGTAGCCCGAAGAAGAACGAGCACTGAATAGTAACCTGTGACAACACTCAGAAAATGTGGGTCTCCAGAGGTTTGTTACAGAACGAACCTACAAAGTTGGAGGAAAGAATTTAACCCCTTTCTAGGCTGGATCTTTCCTGCGATTACAGGTGCAATCAGAAAACTACCTCCAGCAGCACTGACTCCGAAGAGATTGTGTGCATGTTACATAGGACCAGCAGAGGGCAGCACACACCTACGTACCAGGCTTTCTGGACCAGTACAAAACTTGCCCTGAGGCAGTACCTCTTGGGGAAAGGAAACTAGCTTTAGCATTTACTTGGGCATATAAAATCAAAGCCATTTAGAACCGAATCTGGAGCGCAAAGCTGTACAGGGTTAGACCACGGCAATTTTCAGATACAGGAAGACTGTGTCTTTGAATCCTCGTTGCCTCTGGTCTGTTTCCATCTCTGCTTCTGCAAGAATGTTTGGGGCATTGGCAGTTTTGGTGCTACTCAAGACAAATACAGGATTTCATTCCCTCACTTCAGGCCCACTGAGTCAGAATCTGCCATTGCACAAGATTCCCAAGGGATTCCCATCCACTTCAAAACCATCCTGTCCCTACAGACACCTACCATTTCAAAAACCTACCCTCTTCTTTGTCTCCAATCTCTTCCTCACCCAGAAATCAAGATTTGGGCTCATTTCAGGCTTAGGGAGAGGAGGGAAGAGAGTGGTCAGCGTGGCTTCTGGTGGGCAGATATGAGACTTCCTCTTCGGAAGACTAAAGGACCTCCCCGTGCGTTTCCAGCCATCCAGTTACGTCTGTATTCAAGGAACACTGAGCAAGGGAGTATCATAGCAAGACAACTCAAGAGGTTAAACACATATCAACATTGGGTTGGCACGTGGCGTGATGGTTAAGGTGGTGGACTCCCGCATGGCTGATCACAGTTCAAGTCTCAGACCTGGTGGTTTATTCTCTCGTTTCCTCTCTCTCTCTCCTTCTCTCATCAAATTAAATAATAATGATGATAACAAATTAAATAAATAAATATATTTTTAAAAATCTGTCAACATCCACAGCCCACAGTCCAGAACTGGTCTGCATAGATACAAAGAGACTTCAGGAAGTTTGTGGAGCAGGTCAGCTCCATGGCCTAGTAGTTAAGTCAGCCTACCTTGAGGTTCCAATCCCAGTCTGGGGCCTTGAAAAACACACCTGGCATGCATTGATGTTTTTGCACATGCCTGGAATCCTCACAGAGTGGAGAAATGGCGAAGCACCATTATGGTACCCAGCTGTCTCTTTCTCTCCCTCTCTGGCAATTGCACAGGCCCTCTGATGGATCTTAAAAAGGAAAAAGAAAAAGTTTGTAGAGAAATGGAATTATGTAGGAGTTTATTTTGGTGCAAAAATTTTTTTTGAACAATTTTTTCGTAATACTCATTCTCATGAACTTTTGGACGAATCCCTGTATACATGATGTTTGATGCTTTGCTTGTTTGCATTTGGTAAATAGTTCCTTGAAACCATGCAAAGAAATACCAGCACTTTTTAGTTGTTTGTTTGTTTTGGAATTGTCATGGCAGAGAGCCTGTTTCCGGCTTCTCTCCGGATGCTCACATGCTTTCTGGAAAGGACCTTTCTCCAGGATGACTCCTCCCTCTCTCCAGATCCATGTGTTCTGCAGGGAAGTGGCTAACAGCTTGTTTGTACAGGGGGAGAGAACAAACACCAGTCCAGCCTGGTGGTGCAGCTGGTAGCAAACTGACCTGCTGAAAGCCACATGGCTGACCTGGGTTCAGATCTCTGGGTCGTGGGAACATGTCCAAGATCCTGAGGAGCTAGAGGGGTGGGGAAATGGGGTCACAATGAGACAAGACCCTTAAGAGTGCCTGTTCTTCTCCCTCTCACTCATGCATGCATATGTGCTCTATCATGGATAAAATGAAATAAACTTTTTTTTTCTTTTATTTCTTTTTTTTCTCTTTTTATTTCATTTATTTATTTATTTATTTATTTATTTATTTTGGAGTTTTTTGCTATAGGGCACATGCACTCACCAGAAAGACAGAGAGAGACAGAGAGACAGAAAGCAAGAAATCACCCCCCAGGGGGGATGGCCACACCACAATCCCTTCTCCTCCATTCTCCTCTTTGGACCTTAGGCACACACGCACATGCGCCCGGCTTGAGTTTAAGCCACCGGGTCCGAGACTCGAACCGCAGTCGACTACATGGGAGTCCAGTGACATAGCCATTACACTAACTGCAGGTCCCAAATAAACTTATTTTTTAAAAGCAAATACATTTTGAGAAGCAGGTGATTGCTATGTGCTACTTCCATTTGTCTTTCTGCAGAAGAAACAATTCAAGCAGTAGCCTCAGGGGTGTTTTAGCAAGAGTAGGCTCCAGGCAACTCAGTCTGTTCTTTACAGAAGGCTCCTGCCTAGGGGTGTGCAAGATGCCCTTTGGGAAGAAGGTGTCTCTGTGGGAGCCTGTGATGGTAGTGCAGGAATTGGCACTGACGTGGGAAACCATCCAGCCAGGAAGGCTCCATGGGAGGGAATGAGACCCACGGGAGTGAGGCATTTTGTGCTTTCAGAAAACAGATAACAGGGCAAGGGCCTACTGGCTGCCACCAGGCTTTTTCCCCTGCCTTCATTTCCTCTCCGTTTTTCACAGGTGACAGGAAACAGCACAAAGAACTGCACATTGTGAGTTACCTTTCTGAAGGAGCAACGGCAGAAGTCAGGGACAGGTGAGAGCTCCATCTTCAACTTTTGTAAATAATAATAAATTTTATTTTATTTTATTTTAAAGTGATTGTACCAATGTACTTTCCCTGGCTGTATGTAAAAACGTGTATTGCTCACACACACTGAATACTGTCAGTCTTCTAACCTTGCCAATCTGGAAGGTTTGTAATCACAATCGTATCTGGTTGTGATTTTAATTTGCATTTCACTGATGACTAATGAAGTTTTCATAGGTTTATTACCCACTGAGATCTCCAGTTTTATTAAATTATCTGTTCAAATCTGCTCATTTTTTCATTTGGTTATTGTTTTCTTAATGATCGTAAGAGTCCTTTATATATTCTGGGTAAGAGTCCTTTGTGGGATATGTATGTGTTGCTAATATCCTGTAACACTCTGGGACCTAGGTTTGCATCCTCTTTGTGATGTATTTATATGAAAAGATGTTCTTAATTCTGATGTGATTAAATGTATTTATGTTTTCCTCTGGTGATTTTTGTATCTTTTCTAAGAAATTCTTTGCAATCGTGAGATCGGGAAGATGTTCACTTTTCTTATCTTCTGAAAACAATACCACACTCTCTCAGCCACTGTAGCTTTATAACAAGTCTTAAAATAAGCCTTAGTATCTGTCTTTCTTGTTCTATTGATATTTCAAAGTTGTTTGGCCATTCTAGGTCTCTTCCCATGAATATTAGAACCAGTTTGTCCATTTCTACCCCCAAAAAAATTAAAAACAAAACAAAACAAAACAAAAACCTGACCTAGCCTGGTGGCACAGTTGGTAGCAAACTGATCTTCAGGCTAAACATCACATGGCCAACCATGGGCTTAGATCCCCAGGTTGGCTAGAAAACACACTGCATGTGTCCACACTTGCCCAAGATTCCAACAAGCTTACTACCACTGAAACTGTTAGAACTGACCAGACTAGGAACCAACAGATGGCATAATGGTTAAGTTGCTAGATTCCCATGAGTCTACTGTGGTTTGAGTCCCAGACCCGGTGGCTTAAAACTCACTGGGCCCCTTGGGACCAGCAGTTAGCTTAATGGCTATGTTGCTGGACTCCCAAGTAGTCGACTGTGGTTCGCGTCCCGGACCCAATGGCTTAAAATTCACGCCAGGCGCGTGTGCGTGCGTGCCCAAGATCCCGAGAGGAGAATGGAGGAGAAGGGATTGAGGCGTGGTCATCCCCCCTGGGGGGGTGATTTCTTGCTTTCTATCTCTCTGTCTCTCTCTGTCTGTCTGGCGAGCGCATGTGCCCTATAGCAAAAAACAAAACAAAAAAACAAAAAAAAACACTCACTGGGCCCATGCGTACACATGTCAGAAATCCTAGGAGAAGAATGGAGGAGAAGCAATTGCAGTGTAACCATCCCCCCCCCCCCACCGCGCCTCCCTCCGTACTCTCCCCCTAACCCCCCCCCCCCCCCCAGGGTGAGTTCTTGCTTTCTATCTCTGTCTCTCTGTCTCTTCGGCAAGTACTGCCCCCCTATAGAAAAACTCTCAAAAAAAAAGGATTGACCAGACTAAATATTGGCTTTCGTGGTATCATTTTACAAAGGCCAAGCAACCAAATAAACCCATTTCTCTATTTTTTTGGACTGCTATACTATTTATTTTTAAAACAAGCTAAGTTTATCACCCACTCCACAGCCTGGAATTGGCTAACAATTATGAAATTTCTTTTGTAAAAGATGAAGATGTCTATTTGCCAAAGTAACTGAACTTCCTAAATTTGATTTGCGTTTCCTCGTTTGTTACTAAAAATGTCCCAGTTTGCCAGTTTCAATATTTCTTTAGCGTTCTTTTTTACCTAGGTATCTGATTTTTTCTACTATCACTATTTGATTCCTAAGTCAGGCTGCACTTCAATAATTTTAATTACTTTAAAATTTTTCCTATTCTGGGCTACATATCCCTGCTACTTTAACAGAAGGGCTTCTGTGGAATACTGGATCTCCAAAATAACCCCAGAGCAATCTGTGGATCCTACTGCTAAGATGACAAACACTAGGGTTTAGGTGGTGGTGCGTCAGTGAAGCACGACCCTCTATGAGGCCGAGCCACATGGGAAGGTGCTGGGCTCGCCTCTGGAGGCCCTGCTGAGTATGCCAGGCACACGCATGCCCATGATTCAGGGCTGGCTAAGGCTGGGGGTAAATCTTGACATCAAGACCCAGTTGGGGGGTGCTCACTCAATTTTTCTGTCTTTCTTGCTCATGGAAGAAATAGATCAACTTTTTAAAGGAGATGGTAAACACTGCCTCTGTGGACTCTTATTAGCATCATAGGGAGAGAAAGTAACACTGGCAAATTTATTGAGGTTCTTTATTACAATTTTAATTGACATATAACATATATGTGCATTCTTTGGGGTACAATGTCATTATTTTGAAGTCTTGTTTAGGGCAGCTCTCTCAATAAAAAGGGGAAGGAGGGTGGGAGCTTGATTAGAATTGGGTAAGAATCATGACTTAGTAAGTTAGGATTATTAGACCTAGCAAGGCAAAGATTTTGAGAAGAGGGTTTAAAGCATCTTGGAATATAAGCTAGAGAGAGACAGAGAGACAGAAAGAGAGAAATTACCCCCCCCCGCCCCACTCCCCAGAGGAGATGGCCACGCTGCAATCCCTTCTCCTCCATTCTCCTCTCAGGATCTTGGGCACACATGCACACATGCCCCGGTGTGAATTTAAGCCACCGGGTCCGGGACTCGAACCACAGTCAACTACATGGGAGCCCAGCGACATAGCCATTACGCTAACTGCTGATCCCACTAGTGAACAGATCTTATGAGAGGTTCCTGAAATAAACAATCCAGTTATCTGTGACTTTTAATTTCCTGGGCAAGACTCTTCTAAAGGAGCTTGCTAATAAAGAAATCAATTCATGTTAATGTAAACCATAAGCTGCATGATATAGATAGCTTCTGTTTTCAGTGGGTTTCTCATGAAAATGGTCAATGATTTCATGGAGAAAGAAATCCAGCACATAAATATTTTTGTAAATTTTAATTTTTGAATACCTATTATATATAATATAAATTACTTATAAGAAATAAGAAATAAGTATAAATAGGGACCAGTAGATGGTGTAATGGTTATGTCGTTGGGATCTCATATGGCCGGCCAACCACAGTTCGAGTTCCAGACTCAGAGGCTTCAAACTCACACTAGGCATATTGTGTGCTTGCCTAGAATTCCAAGAAGAAAGTAAAGAGATTGTGGTATGGCCATCCCCCCAGGGGGTGATTTCTCACTTTCTGTCTCTCTGTCTCTCTGGTGAACACATGTGCCCTTTAGCAAAAATATCTCCAAAAAAAAGGAAATAAATAGAAATAAATTCACATAGATTTATTGAGTGAATGAATGGAAACTCCAGACAAGGAAGAGAAAGTGATCAAGTGACTGATTCTTTCTCCCAGGCTTCTCCTCCTACTTCTTTGAGTTCTAATACTCAGCATCTTCATCACCACCATGCCCAGATTTCCGTAGTACAGTTTGTAATTCCAGCCCAAGTTGAAACAATGATATCCTTTCTTTTGGAGGCCCTTAGCATAGCTAAGTGAGGCAAGAATTTGAG